AACTATGGCCAACACTAGGAGATGCTGCTATGTGGTATTTTTGCCCTCTTAAAATTTCTGCATGTAATGAGAAATAGTTCACATTCACATGAAGGACTGTTTTCAGGAATCCAATTATAGCAGGCTACTCTCATAGAGCTTCTGCTTATGTATACATTTTATCATCTACTTGGTAAAATAATTCTATCATATTAGGCAGACACTCCAGTACTGTTATTTATCCTCCTGTAAACCCAAAACAGGGAGTTGATTTCTGCTTGGTGATAATACTATAATCGTCTAATTATTTCTGTAGTACTTAGAGTGGTTGGAGCAAACCTCATTTCCTGCTGCTGTTGTGTGCCATTAACTGGAGTAACAAGTAGCCCTGTAGAACACAATGGAAATTCCACATATAAGAGAAAGCATTACTTACTATTGTGTACTCATCTAGTTTTGTTTCAGTTGTTTCATAGCCTTAATTGGTCTGTTTATTTCATTTCTATCAACAGCTATTATATTGGAGATAATGCTCTGACACTATATGCTGCAAATAGTGAATTAGGGCGTTTTATATTTAAACTTGTTTTAAGAAGCACGTTAAAATATTATGTAGCCCTCTATGCTGAAGGGTTTATAGTGAAATCCTCTTTAACTCAGCTTTGAAGGTATTCATGTGGTTGCTTTCCTATGAAGATGAATAGCTGGAACATTGGCCACAGTAGACAGTAAAAGTCAGAATTTACTAGTAATTCTGTTAGTTAAAGGACAGACACTTAAGCCTGTGTTGGTATCACAATGATGAGGATAATCAGATTTAACCTGAAGTTACATATCTTGCACAGAATGAGATGTATATCACTATGCTCTTCTATTTTGTCTGCAACTAATAGTGCTTTCAAATCGATGTTGAACAGAGTATTTAAAAGACATTTTTGTCATCTCTGTGTAAGGACAGATACAAGAAGACAGAACTGCTAGCGAAAACATACCTTTGCTGACTTTTTTCACTATTGAGACTCTGAGACAGATTAAGATAATTTTAATAAAACTGTGTTTTGATGACAGGCATAAAATACACTGTATACAGCTCAAGTATACTGTGCTGGTTTTGCTCAAAACTCTAGAAGTTCATACCGTACATGCCAAACACTGAAAATTAGCAGGTCTAAATCACTTCCTGATGGTATGATTGCATTGGGAAGTTACAGGCTTGTGTTCTGCGAGTTTCATATACTCTGATGTAAGGAGCTGAGCAGCTTTTAATCCTGTCCAGAAATGAACTGATGAAAATTAGGATCTTAATCTGATTGCCTGAGCATACTAGAAACAAATTTATAACATGTATTGTTTCTAAATTTTTTAATGGATATGGTTAGCTTTTCTTTTGATACCTTGTTGTCTTTAATGGCTTGTTATTTGAGAACAGATTTTTTACTGTTGATTGTGGAGAGCAGTAACTCATTTGTAGAAAGAGTTTATACAAATTGTGAGGAATATGAATTTAGACTCACACCAATGTTGTTATAACACTTTTTATAAATAGACCTTTCTTACCTAGAACTTGTTTGTTCACCTTTAGTATGGCTGTGTGAGAAGGTATCTTCTTTTTTTTTTTCATGTATCAAACTGAGCTTATCTGTCTTTTCAGTTCTTCATGCAGTAAGTTGTTAGAAATTCTCAGTCTTCAATTTTGGAACATTGATTGATCAAGGGTAGGGTTTTTTTAGGATGGTCTTATATGTTTTTTCTGTAAGCTTCCTTGATTTACTGTTCTCATTCAAGTAATGCCACAATTTGTCAAAATTGGAAGACTTTCACATTTATAAAGGCATATAATCATACTTACTAATTAAAAGATGATTCCTATGTACAGAGCAGTGAGTTCTCAATATATAAACAAAATTATTTTCATCAGTTTGTTTTTATGTATTGGAGGGGAGAATTGCTTCAAAATTATTGTTAACTGTCTGCTATAACCAGAATAATTCTGTTTACATGCGTAAGAAATGACACATATTTCAATGGAGTGTTTATCTTCCTTCTCTCTGGCAATACCTATTTTTTGCCAGTTACCAGACTATGTCAGTAACCTCTCAGATTAAAGGAAGGGTGATTGTTACCCAGTCCAGTTTGCAATAGTATTCTGTTCTTTTAAGATTCATCAGAATTTAAAATTCAGTACCCCAAGATTCACCCAGTCAGGCTTTGGAGATTTAATGTGTGTAACTATCTTTTGTAAAACAGAAGGTATTTCAAACTGGCTTTAGAGTCAAGGGCATCCAGTCAGCTCTTGATTTTCCATCTGTGTGTTACCCAGCATGGGAGTGAAGGGCATTGTGGGCTCCGTGCATGCCAGCAGCACTGTTGGTGTACTTGGGATGCAGTATTTGCTTGCTCACCTGAGGGGTTCTGGTTGGCCCAAATGAGAGCATTCACTGCTTTGTGAGTAAAAAAGATCACTCACCTTTGCTTTCATCCTTGCACTTTAACAATGTGTTCTGGCAGTCTAATTTTAAATACATAGATGATCCATAGTTTTGGATTATGTGGTTGATACAAACCCTTTGTTACTCTTACAAATTGAAAATAGACTATATATGCCCTAAACACACTCTGTTGTGCTGTTACATGCACTGCTTTTTAAAAACTGCCAGAAATTTGTCACTGAAGAAAGAATGTATTGGATAATTTTATTCACCTATTTAATTAGAATCAGAACATTAAGAAAATTGGAGGTTCATAACTAGTGATGTACCCCAGGGTCAATACTGGGTCCAATACTGTTTCACGTCTTCATTAATGATCTGGATGGTGGGGCAGAGTGCACTCTCAGAATATTTGCTGATGACACAAAACTGGGAGGAAGGGCCGATACACCAGTCCTGCTGCCATCCAGAGGGACCTGGACAGGTTGGAGAAGTGGGCTGACAGGAACCTCATGCAGTTCAACAAGGGGAAGTGCAAAGTGCTGCACCTGGGGAGAAACAACCCCAGGCACCAGTACATGCTGGGGGCTGCCCAGCTGGAAAGCAGCTTGGCAGATAAGGACCGGGAGGTCCTGGTGGACACCAAGTTGAACGCGCACCAGCAATGTGTCCTTGCGGCAAAGAGGGTTAATGGTATCCTGGACTGCATTAGAAGTGTTGCCAGCAGATCGAGGGAGGTGATTCTTCCCCTCTGCTCAGCACCGTTGAGGCTACTCTTGGAGTACTGTGTCCAGTTCTGGTCTCCCCAGTACAAGAGAGACGTGGACATACTGGAGGGCCACCAAGATGGTGAAGGGACTGGAGCATCTCTCATATGAGGAAAGGCTGAGGGAGCTGGGACTGTCCAGCCTGGAGAAGAGAAGGCTTGGGGGTATCTCATCAATGCATATAAACACCTGCAGGGAGGGTGCCAAGAGGACAAAGCCAGGCTCTTGTCAGTGGTGCCCAGTGACAGGACCAGAGGCAGTGGGCACGGACTGAAACACAGGAGGTTCCCTCTGAACATCAGGAAACACTCTCACTGTCAGGGTGACCGAGCTCTGGCACAGGTGGCCCAGGGAAGTTGTAGAATCTCCCTCCGTGGAGATATGCAAAAGCCATCTGGGAATGGTCCTGGGCACCCAGCTCTAGGTGATCCTGCTTGAGCAGGGCGTTGGAGCAGATGACATCCAGAGGTCCCTGTCAACCTCAACTATTATATGATTCTGTGAAAATAGAGGGTTTTCTGGCTTTCCTGTAAAATTACTGTGTTTACAAAAAAAGGAATCAAGCAAAAATTGAATCAGTGGGTTTTATTTATGGTTTATCAGGTGTTTATTTTCTGGGACTTTTCATTAAGGGACACCCTATGAAGCCATCATATCCTGATCATTTGTGCTAAAAGCAAGATGAATAAACAAAGCAGTTGGCCGTTAAAGTGCTAATCCAGTTTACACTTACTCCAACTTAATATTTGAAGAGTATTGGAGTTACACTTCATAACCGCAGACTTTTTTCTTTAATATTCTCTTATTTTATTTCTTACACTATGAAATATAAATAGAAATGGCCTCCTAAGAAAATCCCATATGAAACTTTTAATACATAGTGTCTTCTCACACTGCTAAGAAAGGCAGTACATAAAATTGTGTAACAGTATATTATTTGCAAAGTTACAAGAAACAAAGACCGGAGCAATGGCTGGCTACACACTAGCAAATAAATACTCTGATGTGGAAAGCTCTACCACATTGATTTTTTGTCCTTGCCTGCAACAATAAAATATATTTTAGAAAAAAGTCTTTATTAATAGAGTTATATCAATCAGAATGTGGCATTGCAGTGTTTATATAATGTCTCTTCTGCTTATCTTTGTTCTAAATCAGTTCTTCAGAAACTTTTTTTACAAACACAAATTCCCTTTTGGAAATAATCCACGCTGACCCCTTCCCCTCCTCAGACAACAGGACAGCAGCTTTGTTCCTCCAAGGAAGAAGGCTGTGAAGTCACAGTAATAGTTGTTTATGTTCAACTGCCAGTGTCTAATACGCAGTTAACATTGCCCAAGAACTAAAACACTTTGTTACCCCTCCAAACACATCAGTGTGGAATTTAAGAAACACCACTGCAAATGATCAATTAAAAATTAATTACTCTCATGTAACTAATAGGACCTAACCTCTTTATTCACAATTTTTATAAACACCTACAGCAACCATTCTGTGATTAGAGAAATATATTTATCACAAATTATCAATTATTTTTGTCAACAATTTTCATATAAGTCTGTATTTAATGTACACTGGTGAAGATTTTGGGTGTATCAAAAACATGGTGTGCAGCTTTCACTTTTAAGCACCTAGTATTTAAGGGGAGTTAGGGAAACTGCATTTTGAAAGGTGAGTTCCTTCCTTTTTCTTAGGCTAGCCTCAAACTGACAGGTTGAGGAGAGCATCTAATAGCTGCATTTTGTTTGGTCTCATACCCCTAATGAGAGATAAATGTGAGTATCCTGTCTGTTGTGTCTTACTGTCCATCTGTCTGTTTTTCTAGGAGGTGATTTCCTGTCCTTTTTAAGAAAAAAGAAGGATGAGCTAAAAACGAAACAGTTGGTAAAATTTTCATTAGATGCTGCTTCTGGTATGGCATATCTTGAGTCTAAAAACTGTATACATAGGTAAGGAAGATTTTTTTTTTCTCACTGTTGTAATTTGGATCATTGGAAATGCTAGCTCTTAAGTGTATATGGTGCTTATTATCAACAGGAGTGACCCCTACAGTTTAAAAAAAAAGACTACACTTTTTCTGAAAGAAGGTCATTATTGTTTGTCTAATTCAAAACTGTTCTGTTCATTTGGGTAAAAATAAGTACTACATTATTTGATCTGTATAGTTTGTTGCTATTAATGCGAGTTAAAAATTATTTTTTTCACCATAATAATTTGCATTATAAGGAGCATAATTCGTATGGTGACAATGTATCATGGCAAAAAGCAATCTGTGAGGCTTATAGCCTGTCTGATACACGTACTTGCATGGCCAACAAAGAAGTTAAGTTACGTTTGATGTGTGTTTCAGAAGAATCCACTGGTTTCTCATATAATAAAGGGAGAAAAACTAGAATTCTGTATGTTAAAATATTAATTGCCTGGACTGCTTTCTCTAAAATATAGAAGATTATCAGGCATTATGCTCTTGGAGTACCTTATTTCTATTCCTACCATTCCTTTTTGTTGTTTCTTATCCAGTTTGATTGTGCCATGGTGCTGCTTAGACTCAGTTTATGTCAAAGGAAATGTGCTTAATTTCCACGTATTTTTCTCTGAGAATATCACAGTATATACCGTGCTACAATGATATAGCTGAAATATGAGAAATAAACATGATGATAACCCACTTTACAGAAAAATTATGAAGAACCAAGTTTTCATTTGTAATATTGATGACTTCCGCTTTGTGTTGTAGAACATTTGTAGGTGAACTGTGTGCCACTTCACTTACGTAATCAGGCCATTTGATATTTAGCACTGTTCTGATGAATGCTGTTATTGGAGTCCTGAGTGGCATTTCTCTTAGATTTTTATCAACAGTGAATTGTTCAGCTGCAATCATGCAGGTCAAGGAGTAGATTTATCTTTAAAAACATTCTTTCAACAAGAGTAAGCTCAAAACCTATTTATAAAATCTTACAGTATTGTTGTAAGTGTCATTTATGTATCTTTTGCTCTTTTTTGTGTTCAACTTGATATAAGGAAGCTTAAATGGAATAGTAATCTTATGCTGTTTCCAAAACGTGGAAAATTATTCTGAAACACTAATTGAAACACTTCTGCAAGATCATGATATATAAGAAACATGAAATTAAAAAACCTAACTCACAGTATAAAACTATGGAATATTCCTTTGGGGAAATCCCAGACAAGTATTGTAGGCACCATGGGGAAAAACAGGATTAAGGTCCCAGCATTCTGTCATGGTAGAATGTGTTTCAGCCTGGCTCTGTTTGCCAAGAAAATAACAGCATAAAAATCAGAGCAAGTAACAGCATTAGTGATTTACACTAGCCTCATAAATGCTCTGGTGTTTAATAATTTCTGCAACTGTCAGATCAATGTTAAATCAGAAATGCCTGTTTACAACTCCTTTGTTCTTAGAAAATAAAACCAAGGGGAAAAGTAATAGCTGAATAACTAAAATTTACTATTATTATTGTGTAATGTCTTAGCTAGTAATTGCAATTACTGAAAAAGAATGTGGTATTTATCCTTTAAATGCTAGTGCGATGCCTGCAAAATAAAAGTTTTAGAAACAATTCTTTTTGGAGAAGTGCTCTCTCCACCCCCCCTTTTTCTTTTTTTTTTTTTAACTCTGGAAAAAAGGATATCCTTGCTCATCTATGTGGCTTAGTACTGTTCTAACTACTGTGGATGACAGTGTGGCTTCAGTGTATCTCAGGGCTGGCGGTTAGCAGTGAATAGGAACAGCTATTCTTAAGGTGTGTTTACAAAGCTAATGGTGATTCAAAGAATGTATTTCAGTGAGAAGATATATGTAGCTATGTCTTACCATATGAAGATTTCATTGTTTCATTGTTTTCAGTTAGAAAGCTGAATACAAATGTCATATAGATCTCAAGTCAGGAAAAAGAGCTGTAATCTGATGTGCTTTGTTAGTGCCATAGACTTGCCAATGCACACAAGCCTGGGTTACACATACTATGATACAAGTAGTGAGAAAAGTTCTTTCCCACTATTTGCTTTCTAACTTTCAAAATCTTCACAAAATGTGTTTATTATTATCACAGATTGTCACAGGAGGTTATCAGAGAGTGCTACCACTTTGCTTAAAGGCAGAAACAAAATTTTTAGTAAACCTATCCTGAAGAAGACTACCGTTTTAAAGTGCAACCAAGCAAGCAAACAGTATCTTCAGGAAAACTGCTTACTTTTATGAAACACACAGGTTAATAAATCAAAATATGCATTTCCAGTATTACTTTACCAATCTTATTTTCTGGGATATTCAAGATTATTTTTGCATTTATGTGGTTGGCCATAATATGTGCTTACTATATTTGTGAGATAATTCTTCTGAATTTGGTAGGTAAACGTAATGAAAATTTCTGGATCAGGACAACAACCAACGAAGTTTAGTGATTTTAGCAGTAATGATAGAGGGACTTCTGGGTGGGGCTTTTTGAGTTAGTAATACAGGTTAATTGGCAAATCCTTACTCTAAGAAAGTAGCCCATGAAGTTTTAAAATGTGTTTTACCAAAGGCTAAACTGCATCTTAGTAGGATTAGCATACATAAAATCTTTCTAGGTGTATTCCCTGTTTGAGGAGTTTGAGCATTTATCCAGAATTTCTGGGCACCCTTGGGGATGGCTGGAGATATATTTGTCTGGCAACCCTGTCTGCCACAGGACCACAGAGCATCTGTTGCTTGCTGGGTACTTTGAACCTGCTGCACACTAGCAGGTGCAACACTCTTGGTGCTGTGCTGCAGGTACACTAAAGAAGGGAATGACAGGCTAGCGGGGAAAAGTCAAACTGTCTCATGCTTTGTAAGCAAGCCTTTAGGTGGTCAGGACTCAGAACCCCACGAGAGTTTCAGCCCCCCCTTGCCCAAGCACTGAAGGTGCAGCTATGTGACTGCATGATCTGTACAAGGAATTTGGGAGCCCTTGTTCCCTCCTTTTTAGGTCAGGTAAGACAAATTAGTCAAGGGTAAGTTTAAAGTTGAGAGCATGTAGATTAGAATAGAACAATTTAATTCATTGTAAGAAGAAGTTTTAGCACTATGTAAAAAAATAGTAATTTTTTTGAAAGAACAATAAACTTGTTCTTTTTTGTCAGAAACTTCATCAACTGAAAGTGGTTCTCAGTTTAAAAAAAGGTAAGAAAATTAACTAGAGAGAAAATGAACTAAGCAGCGTAATGTTTTTTATTTTGTTTAAAAGTCCATAGGCTTTGATTACTACTGCTTAAGAAGGATCAATAATATATAATTAGAAATAGTCTATTATGTAGGTTGCAGCAAACCAGAATTGTTTTGCTTCATGCTGTTGTTTTTCTGTAGTATTCTATTTGTTGTCTTAAAGATTTGTTCAGAATCCTCACATTTTTTTAGCAATTTAGGTGACCATAATTTAGTACCATATGTATTTGACTTGATGTTAATGTGAAACTAAAGGCTTCTCAGCAGTTTATTAAAATTTTTTCTTAATGCCACTTTGTAGTTGTAGCTGCACTAGCTATACTTAGCCTCTTTATTTTAAAATTCTACATAAATCTGTACTGGCTTTCTGAAATTGCTATTTGAGTCATACTTTGACTTAGCCTTTCAGTACTGAGGCCAGTGCAACAACTAGTCTCCTCTTTTGTTTTCTATTTTTGTGTGTGCTATGGTGTTTCAGTAGGTGCAAATATAAAGTTAAAATTTGTCAGACTTAGAATGCTTAATGCATGTGAGTGATTATTTGATCGGCATTTTCATCTCCTCTAGCATCCAGATATCACTTGCTCTTTGCTCTCTCTTTGTTCTGTTAAAAGAGCAGAAATGAGTGGGCTTAATGAGGAAAAAAAAAAAAAGCTGCATGGAAAGATGTTATTAAAAGAAATAAGAAGAGTGGTTGAACATATACAGAAGAATCTAGTCATTTCATCTCCATTTAATTAACATGAGGTTGAAGAATTGTTTCTTGCTTTTCATTTTTACCATATGCTATTGTTTAGATAGTTCCATTTTTTCTGTTAATTAGAAATACCAGATAAGGAAGAAGATGAGAAAATTTCAGTTGGTTCAATAAGCATTTATGAGTGGTCTTCTTTTCCAGTATTTGATTTGCATGTGATGAATGTATTTTTACCATAATTTATTTTTAGTTTCCAAACCAGTCCTGTGGGAGTATAGGAGAGAAGCTGCAACTACCCGATTCAGAGAATTTGGACATGCCTATTGTTTGTTTTATTTTCCCCTCTCTTCACCGCCATCATTTTGTAATGAAAATAATTCAAATTATGGTAGAATTCAGTTGGAAAAATATTTTAATACTGAGAGAAGCAATTATGTGTAGGAGTTCCTCTGTTTTTATCATTTGATGGTCAGTACAACCTTTCAAAATCAGAGACAGGTCTTTAAAATATTTCTGTGTGGAAAATTGTGTACAAGTAATACATATATAATTCTAACTGAAACTAGCAGAAATATTTTTCTTTTTTTCAGTTAGCTATTGTGTTCCTTGATAGTGTTCTGCACAGTTTGTCTGCTTTACTTGAGAAGTAGATTAATTTTTACCTTGTTTAAGAGCTTTTACAAATACATTAAGAACCAGTTTATTTTTTTAAATAATTTAATGTGAACCTCGTGAGGTTCAACAAGGCCAAGTGCAACGTCCTGCACATGGGTCAGGGCAACCCCCAGTATCAATACAGGCTGAGAGTTGAAGGGATTGAGAGCAGAGGAGAAGGACCTGAGGGTGATGGTGGATGAAAAGCTGGACGTGAGCCGGCAATGTGCACTTGCAGCCCAGAAAGCTGATTGTATCCTGGGCTGCATCAAAAGAAGAGTTACCAGCAGGTTGAGAGAGGTGATTGTCCCCCTCTGCTTTGCTCTGGTGAGACCCCACCTGGAGTACTGTGTTCAGCTCTGGTGCCCCCAGCATAAGAAGGTCAT